GTATTTTTCACAGAACTAGAACAAATAATTTCACAATTTGTATGGAAATACAAAAAACCTCGAATAGCCAAAGTAATCTTGAGAAAGAAGAATGGAACTGGAGGAATTAACCTGCCTGACTTCTTTTTCATTTAGAACCTCTTAACCAGAAATCCCAAATACCTGTATTTTGTTCAAGTTCTATATAGTGATAGTCTATCATAATAATACATGGTACTCCATAACTTTCTGATTCATTATGGCAGCCTAAATTCTGTTTATTATAGCTTTGATATTAAGTGAATTTAATTACACTATGAGTCTCTAAACACTGATAATTGATTGCTATATATAACAACTCCAAAAGGTCCAAATATTTCATTACTTTGAATATCTCATTTATGAACTTTTCCAAATAAAAGCAAATTAATTGCATGTAGTGTTTAGAACAGATTTTTAAATAGACTGGAGCAAATGTTTTTATCAGTTATGCGTTTATTGTATTAATGACAATACTTAGCCACATGTTCTGATTCAAGTTAATAGAATTTTCTAAAATTTACAACAAATGGAAAAATAATTGAACTTCTTTGGAAGAGTATTAAATGGTAAATTCCTAATGTTAATGGAAGTTCTTTCCAACATAAATCACATGCTCTTCTGTTTTCTTTGAGAGAAGATCTTAGATATAAGTCAAATCTCACTTAAAATATTTTCATCAGTTGATTGATACCTTAATCACAGGAGACATTTTTTTTTTTTCTGTGAAAACAACCATCAGAAGCAGTTGTTTTGGGGATAAGTGGATGTTTTGGACTTCCTAGATCTTTCTAATTTATGACTGCTTTCTTGTTTTAATTTGCAGAGTTTTTCCGAGAGCTCCTGGAGAATGCAGAAAAGTCATTAAATGATATGTTTGTACGGACCTATGGAATGCTATACATGCAGAATTCGGAAGTGTTCCAGGACCTCTTTACAGAACTTAAGAGATACTACACAGGGGGCAACGTGAACCTGGAGGAAATGCTCAATGACTTCTGGGCTCGGCTCCTGGAGCGGATGTTTCAGCTCATCAACCCCCAGTATCATTTCAGCGAGGACTACCTGGAGTGCGTGAGCAAATACACAGACCAGCTGAAACCGTTTGGAGATGTTCCCCGGAAGCTGAAAATTCAGATCACCCGCGCCTTCATTGCTGCGCGGACATTTGTCCAAGGGCTGACCGTGGGCAGAGAAGTTGCAAATCGAGTGTCCAAGGTAATTGAAATTCTACTGTCTTTCTAATTGGCCTTTCCCGTTTTCTCTGTTTTTTTTTTTAACCAGTGGTTTTTTTTTTCTTTAAAATTCAAGTAAAAGTTCTCACGTACAGTGGTCTTGCTAAATCAACTAAATGTCAAAGCTTAATTCTTTGTGTGAGAGGAGCCAGGATTTCAAGCCATTCCATGTGGTTTGAAACATAATGTCAATATTTATCAACAATTCAGCAGGGAAGCTTTTATCAGGGAAGGCATGAAAACAGGTGTCTTGTAACCATGACCACTTGGCATTTCTGATCAGTTTTAAGGATGATAAATACTCATGAAGCAGTCTATCCAGAGGTTATAATCCTCTGGGAAGGCACAAGATGACAATCTTCATGGTGACTGCAAGTGGAGACAAGTTGTTGCTCAAAACACCAGCACCTGGCATTTCTTCTTCTTTATCACCCTTGTCAATGTGGCAAATTCCTTAATAGTAAAAGAAGAGCCTTTAGCTGACACCTGTAGAACTGGATTAGGGAGGACTAATGAATACAAAGTGTAGACTCTGGTGGAGACTTCTTTCTGTTATCCATTATCTTTGTAATTCAATGCTGTGTATTGCATTGGGCTTATGAGAAAAATAAATCACTAATACATGTATGTATCTTTCTTTGAGGATGCCTCTAAACCTTTAATGGATGGGGTCTTTTTCCACTGCTGTTTTCAAACATTGACTGTTTCCTGTGTAAAGGATATATGGCTTTGTTTAAATTCTTCGTTGACATTCAACTGCTCTTATAAGATAGGCTTGCCCATTTATGAGGGCTGTCCAACAAATAAACTGGAAGATGATTACTTTAAGAGGTAAAGTTAAAACAATAGATAACAGGAGTCTGGTCTGATGTCACCCAAAAAAGGTCATGTTTGTACAAAGATTATTGCTAAATATTACTTTCTTATTGCAGACTTGTGCCAAATAGCCACATATTTTTTGTAACTATTGGTACTATCCTGCCATGTTTCTTTTTTCTCCACTTTGATCTCCTCAGTATTTACATCTTGGTAGAAAGGTGTATATACCCTTAAGAATGTCTCTCTATGGCTCTATTTGTAAAATTCATAGCAGTCCATTTTTTAAATGAGAGATTCTTAAAAAGGTTACTTGAGCATATGGAAAGACTATTTGGAAGAATGCTCTGAGGAAGATAATCACAAGGGATTTAATAATACAAAGGGCCTGTAACTTTGATGTTAAAAACAATTTGTTTCGTTGAAAATCAACATTCTAAATACCAAAGGAAATAGAACCCCAAAAGTGGATTAATAAGGGATTGGCCAGGTGGAGTAATAAGAGGAGACATGATCACCTGGGTAAGTCTGTGACATACAGATCGATATAAGCAATAAATATATATTCCATATATTCTTGAGGGATAGATTTTGTTGTTAAAAAATGCTAGTCATGGTGGCTTCAAATTGAAGCCCTTGCTTTTATTGCAGAATGAAATTGCCAGCTTTTGAGACACATGAGGTAAGAAATTAAAAGCGTGGATTGATACCTGTGGCAGTCCTGATTGTTTATATAGAGTCTGCCTGCGTGTGAATAATGATTAGATAAATATATTTACTCTGGGGAAGTCTCAGTGAGGTAAGAGAATATTTTCTATCAGTCCATCTAAAAAGCCACAGGGAGTTGGCTGATGCCTCTCTTTCCTGTTTCTCAGAGGATGGCATTAAAGACAGTCAGGAAGTAGTGCCCCCCGTTTGCCTTTCCCTGACTGTCCCAGTCTTGAGACCTTTGTCTACCAGAAGCTGATGTGTCAACCTTCCTGGTAAAAACTGATATCATGGACCAACCATCAGTAGAATATGATCTTCAGTTTTGTTTTGTTTTCTAGACATGAAGTGAGATGAACTTTGCAACACTGAGATCTTTCTCCCCTTGATTTTTTTCATGACCAACATTCATTTGCAGAATAGCTGCTGTGGGTTTGCAATGTTGTCTGTGGTCATGTGACTGTGAATGTTTACTATTTTATGCAGATATTGCCTTGTTTGACCTGAGTATCATTAGCCCGAAGCCATTCAAATCATAAATCCCATACTGACATCTGGTTACTGCCTTCTAGTAGGTGAATAGATGGATGGATGGATGGAAAGAGAGAGAGAGGGATGGATGGAAAGAGAGAGAGATGGATGGGAATATATAGCCTTGGTTTAGAAGCTGAGAATTTTTTTTTTCTCAGATAATTTATGACTTAGGGGTTTAAGTATTTTACCAGTGAACTTTCTTAACTAATGATGACCAGATGGTCTGTAGCTGACTAAATCAGATGCAGATCTACCAGCACCATTTGGGTGCCGATGACTTACAGCACCTAAACTATTCTTTGTGATAATAATAAAATATTACAAGACTGACTATATTAAGAGGAGAAGTAAGAATTGTGTTTGAGGGTTAGCCCCTCATAAATCAGAAGTTTCCTTGTGGTCTGTTACTTGAATGATTTGGAATTTGTGAAATGATTGTAGAAGAGTTAAGGAATTCAAGGCAAAAATCCAAAATGGAGATTCACAAACTATAATAACTTATCTCCTGCACCTTGGCTTAGGGGATATTTTTTATTCTTCAGTTTCCCTCTTCTATTACAGTGGCTTCTTAAATCTAGGAAGGCATCATTAATAGCTTCTAATTAATTGTTTTGACTGGGAAACTTATCTCTTTGGCAAAACACAGCAGTTTGACACAAATGTTTTGACACAACATTTGGGGAATTTCCTTACCAGAAAAATAGAGAACTAATCTGATGACGTCAACATAACTATTTTTAGAACTCACTCTTGCCATCTCCCATCTCACAAGTCGTTTTCTAGGCTTTGGATGGAACAAGTTAATTTTAAATAACTGTTTGAAAATACCTGTGCTATCAAATGGGGCTTCCCTGCTGGCTCAGTGGTAAAGAATCTGCCTGCAATGCAGGAGACTCAGGAGACACAGGTTTGATCCCTGGGTTGGGAAGATCCCCTGGAGGAGGGCATGGCAACTCACTCCAGTATTCTTGCCTGGAGAATTCCATGGACAGAGGAGCCTGGTGGGCTATACTCTGTGGGGTCGCAAAGAGTCAGACACTGCTGAAGCAACTGAGCATGCAGGCACATGCTATCAAATACATGCATGTCTTAAAACTACAATTCTCACCTCTGGACACACTGTTTGACCTGTATACAAATCTATGTGTAGGAATCACATCAACATTGTTTATAATAACATATAAAGTGAAAATATCACTAATGTCCCATCTGCATAAATGATGATCTCTTCTGAAATCCTATGGAGCACTGAAAATAAGTGAACTACAGCCACGTGTGTGGATGAATCAGTTGCAAAAATATTTTTGAGTCAAAAAAATAAAATAAAATAAAATCACCAAAGAATATATACCATTTCAGTTCAGTTCAGTCACTAGTCGTGTCCAACTCTTTGCGACCCCATGGACTGCAGCACGCCAAGCTTCCCTGTCCATCACCAACTCCCAGAGCTTACTCGAACTCATGTCTGTCAAGTCATATACAATTTATATAAATTTTTTAAAAAGTACAAAGCAATATGTAATTTAGGAATTAAAATATATATGGGATCACATGTGCTTAGTTGCTCAGTTGTGTCCAACTCTGTGTGACCATGTGTACTGTGGCCTGCCAGGTTCCTCTGTCCTTGGGACTTTTCAGGCGAGAGTACCAGAATGGGTTGCCATTTCCTCCTCTAAGGAAGTATGTTGCCATTTCCTCCTCTAGGAGATCTTCCCGACCCAGGGATCGAACCCACATCTCCTGTGTCCCTTTCATTGCAAGCAGATTCTTTTTTTTTTTTTTTTTTTAATTTTTATTAGTTGGAGGCTAATTACTTTACATCATTACAGTAGTTTTTGTTATACATTGATATGAATTAGCCCTGGATTTACATGTATTCCCCATCCCAGTCCCCCCTCCCACCTCCCTCTCCACCCGATCCCTCTGGGTCTTCCCAGTGCACCAGGCCTGAGCACTTGTCTCATGTACCCAACCTGAGCTGGTTATCCGTTTCACCCTAGATAATATACATGTTTCAATGCTGTTCTCCTGAAACATCCCACCCTCGCCTTCTCCCAGAGTCCACAAGTCTGTTCCATACATCTGAGTCTCTTTTTCTGTTTTGCATATAGGGTTATCGTTACCATCTTTCTAAAGTCCATATATATGTGTTAGTATACTGTAATGGTCTTTATCTTTCTGGGTTACTTCGCTCTGTATAATGGGCTCCAGTTTCACCCATCTCATTAGAACTGATTCAAATGAATTCTTTTTAATGGCTGAGTAATATTCCATGGTGTATATGTACCACAGCTTCCTCATCCATTCGTCTGCTGATGGGCATCTGGGTTGCTTCCATGACCTGGCTATTATAAACAGTGCTGCGATGAACATTGGGGTGCATGTGGCTCTTTCAGATCTGGTTTCCTTGGTGTGTATGCCCAGAAGTGGGATTGCTGGGTCATATGGCAGTTCTATTTCCAGCTTTTTAAGAAATCTCCACACTGTTTTCCATAGTGGCTGTACTAATTTGCATTCCCACCAACAGTGTAAGAGGGTTCCCTTTTCTCCACACCCTCTCCAGCATTTATTGTGCAAGCAGATTCTTTACCTATTGAGCCACTAGAGAAGTCTCTTCTCTTACACTGGCTTCTTAAATCTAGGAAGGCATCATTAATAGCTTCTAATTAATTGTTTTGACTGGAAAATTTATCTCTTTGGCAGGGAAAAAAAAGAAAGAAGAAAACTTTCAAATGATAAACACAAACATCATATAATAATAACATCTGGGGATTAGGTTTCGATGTATTATAAAAGAGAGATAATCAGGGGGTTCCGTACTTACTGATAACATACTGTTTCTTAATCTCTGTGCTCTGTGTGTCTGCATGCAGGTTTAAGATTTTTCAATGAAAGAGATTAAAGTGGGAGGAGACTTATCATTGT